ACCCGGGGGACACCAAAATGACTGACAGTAAATTTGGGCACTCATTCATAGACCAGGAGCCCAACAGGGTCAGGAGAGAGGGGACCCGGCGGCATACCTTATCCCGCCGGGTGAATGTCCCCTCCTCTTTCCGACGGCGTCCATCACCAAGATGGCCGCTGGCAGGCGTCAATAAGATGACCACGCATGCGCGATGGCGGGGTGTCACCCGGTCTCCGCTCTGGGTGACACCCGGCCTCAGGACGCCCCTGATTTCAAGCCAAATGTTTGTCTAAACGATGTGCATATAAAGAGTTTCCTGGGAGGAGGACACGAGGGAGATCTGTAGAGCTGGACATTTGTCATCATTTTTTGATGTGTCTATTTTTCTATCTTTGAGAACTCCGGGGATTTTGTTTGTAATTTGTAGCCCCTCCTCCTGTATAAATAAAATTTGTGTCAATCTGTTGTTACTCTCTCCATGCTCCAGCACAGCCCCGATTTTCTTCTCGGTCCAGCGCCGACAGTCCTCATTGGGCAGAACAATTGTCATATAATTCTGCCCATTTCCTGTGAACTCAGCCTGTCATTTATACTCCCCCCCCCCATGGGTGCATCATTGCATCATCACACAGTACACAGTATTCACCCTGTGAATGGACGGTGAAAGGGAAAGCAGCACACTGATGAGTCCGTCTCTCTGTTCTCTTCTACTATCAGCACACTCTCTTCACTCTAACACACGTGATTGTCTCCTTGTGCCGCTTCTCCTTCCCCTCTCTAAGCTCTGCTGTGCAGGGACTGCATGAGGCTGATGCCTTAAATTAAGGTACTTACACTGTTTGTATTTAAATAAAATACATGGGGGGGAATTTATCAAAACTGGAGCAGACAAAATCTGAAGCAGACTTGCACTGCAACCAATCAGCTTCTCCGTCTCATTTTCAAATGTTACCTGAGCAAACTGAATAGAGAAGCTGATTGGTTGCCATGGACAACCACTCCAGATTCTGTCTGCTCCAGTTTTGATAAATTCCCCCCGGTGAATGATTACAGAGCTGAAATGAATTTGTGTTTTATATCTGCCTGGGGGTAATCTTTAGTATTAAAGAGGACCTGTACTTTGAAAGTGGAGCCCAGAAACAGCAAGCTGACAGCAAAGGATTAGTTACCAGTGTTGCCTGTGGTCTCCCTGGAGCCGATCCTTTCCCCTATAACTGACTTACCATGCCTTGTTCTGCACTGTGTCTCTGTGTGAAGGCGGCCATCTTGGTAGAGGAAGGGCTCTGCTTCCCCCATATCAGAGCTGCCCCATTGATGGCTGCTGACAACTGGTGGGGAATAATCATTGCGGGAGATGAGGTGAAGAAAGCACAGAATGAATGTGGTAGAAGCCGGGAGATTCTTACACTGCAGCTCCTCAGGTACAACTTCCTCTCCTGCAAGGAGAACAGCAAGCAGCACAGCAGTGAAGTGACCAGGTCTCGCTCCAAATCCGGTGAGCCTGGCGGTCAGAGGCAGCAGTGGCTTACATCAGCCTCTCTCAACCATGGTGCCTTCTGCCTTCCTTAGGAGTGCTTGGAAAGCCTTTCCATGCTGTAGACAGGGTTCCAATGGTGGTGGGGGGGAACTCTGATATGAAAGTGGGGCTCCTGATGTGACCAGGGGACTACAATATGAATGGAGGGGGCTCTGATGTGAAGATAGGGTCCCAGTGTGAGAGGGGGGACTTTGATGTGAAAGGGGTTTCCTGATTGGAAGGGGGGGCTTCTGACATGAAGGGGCCCTCTGAGCCCAGAAACGACCTGCTTCCTGTCCACCGCAGAACAACCTGCTTCCGGAAACAAGATAAACTTCCAGGATTTAACTTGTCCACCATGACTCTTTCATGGCTAGAGACACCAAGGATTTCCGATCCGGTATGAAGCAACTAGCAGCTCTTGGCAGTAGAATCTTCAACCAAGAAACAAATTAAACTAAAATAAACCAGAAGAGACAGCCACTTTCCTGAGGACACTAAGGGAAACTGGCGGGTGTGAGGGGTTATGTCCTTAAAGTTACAGGCTTTTAATGTTTCTGCCTAGTGTCCAATACTCCTGGAGGCAGCAGCATAACCCTATGTCTCAGAATTCTTCACAGCTTGGTCCCTCAATGAACAATAGAGAAAAAAAACTGATCTGTTATGTTTAGACAGAAATAAGCAACCCGCGGGGCAGGGGTAGGCAACCTTGGCACTCCAGTTGTGGTGAAACTACAAATTGATCATGCCTCTGAGTCAAAAGTCTTACAACGCCTCATGGGACTTGTAGTTCCACAACAGCTGGAGTGCTGTGGTTGCCTACCCCTGGGCACGGTGGATAAAAATAGATTTAAAAAAATATATATTTTTTTTAAATGTTTTTAAATCAAATGTATTTTTATAAAATGCTTTTGGAGTAAAAATCAATCTAAAAGATAGTTTTCTATTTAAGATACATGAATCATTTAGTTTATTCGGCATGAAATGGAGGCGAGTGATGTAGCATGAGGCTGTATATTCTGCAATATTTACATTTTTGGTGAACTCATTCAATGAATCCGAGCGCTGCAAGCTGAGATAACATGCACGGCATTGCTGCATTACTAAACATTGGTGTGTGAGTAAATACAAGAATATGTCACATAATGTTATTGTTTTACTTAAATAAAAGAATTTGAGTCGTTCTCCAACTATGTGTGATTACCCTACTAACCTAAAATCGGTTCCGATATCGCCGTTTTACTAACCTGACCGCTTATTATTCTACACTAGGAAACCTTCATTTTGTTTGCAAATAATAATATTAAAGATTCTAACCACCAGCAAGAAAGAGTCCTTACATTTAAAGAGCACTTAGCGGGCATCCACTGTTGTGGAAATTTTACTAGGATGTGTTTTTAGTGTATTGTAATGTTTTGTCATTAGTCTCTCAGTGTCTCGGTAAATAGACGCTGGGGGATTAATCCATTGGAGGAGATTTCTTATGCGCAGCGGAGCAGTGTCTTCTTGGCGAGTGTATGGACGCCGGCTGGGGCCCCCCGTGCAATGCATGGATTTATTGGCTTGCGTGGATACATTTGTCTTGAACGCAGTATATGAAAGGAACGTGCGTTTGTTCTCTCTGGGGTGCCTGATCAACACGCTTGAGATGATATAACGTTGTCCCTGTGAATGAGCGCGCATGAGAATCCTAGTAATGTTATGTGGCATTGCTCACTGAGCCACGTGGGATAAAGTCACTCCGGTGGTCATTGATTGTTACTACATGTGATTTGTTAGCTGACTCCTGTTCACTTCCTGTCTGACATGACTTCCTGTCTCGCTGTTTGAGACACCCCTTCCTGTCTGATATCACTTCCTGTTGGGCAGGTATAAACAATAAACATACCTGCGCTCAGGTCTCTTAGCATGGGATTATCGAGCAAGCAACATCTGTCTCCTGACTCTACATGACTCTATAGAAGGAGATACTTCCAGTCCTTGCATAAAGGAGCGTAGTACAACGGGGGAAATTCTTTGCGTTTGGCGCAGCTTAATGCGACATGGATTTGTGCGTTGAACCAAGTGAATTTCCATAACACCACTCACCTGCTGCCCGCCACGACCCTCACCTTGTTGTGTCACTGCCGCATCACCAGCTGTCCCATTAAAGTGAATGGGACTGTCGGCGAGTCAACAGCGGGTCACAGGAGGAGCCGCTGCGGGACAGAGATGACAGCAGCTCTTTAAAAAATGATGATTTAAAAAGGAGAACTATGAGGTGAGTGCTTTTCACTCACCTCATAGTTCTAGCCGACCTGTGACAATGAGACTGTTACAGGTCGGCTCAGTAGATCGGGAGGTGAGTGAACACATACCGGCGTCCGCTCACCTCTCGATCCTGTCACGGCTCTCTGCCGTGACAGGGGAGGGGCTGGATTCCCCCTCCGATCCGCCAGCGCTGCATCTAGATAGGCCGAGCCAGCTGTCAGTCACACAATTGTCAGGATCCGCTTCAGCTGCGGCGTCTAAGTATACCACGAGCTACAGCTCACAGTATACTGAGCCTAGGGTGACGGGAGGACGCTAGTTTGTGTCCTCCCGTTACCCTAAGAAGAACTATGGGGAAAAGACTTAACCCCATAGTTCTCCTTTAAATCGAGTTGATTTAAAATTAGGGATGCACCGATACCAAGTACCGTACTTTTCCAGCTCCAAGACTAGACTAGAGAAATATTAAAAAAAGTTAGGAGTCGGCTGTCATTTGTAAGGAGCACACGGAGCTCCCGGGATTTGTACATCTCTGTTATAATGTATGATTTTGTTTTTATAAATATAAATTAAGGGATTCAGTTTTGCGAGTACGAGTATTGATATATTTTTGTTTATTGTCATGTGACTGCTTTTCTAAAATATCGACTAATGATTTCAGGACAGTGGTGGAGCGCCAGAGCCAGGTCCCAGCTGCAAACGCTGCAACCCTGGTAGTTCTCATGAAAATGCCAAGTATCTGCCCTGGTACCCAAAAAGTATGGCTGCATCCTTAATTTAAAATCAGATCCACTCTGCCCCTGGGTATGCAAATCATAAAAGCGGACCTTTGCCCCCCACATCTAAAAACCACGCATGAAGCACTTCATGCACCTCCATAAACATGTGACATGTATATGTAAACATAAAGATTGTTATGTGCACTTAGTTTTATCGTACTTCCTGGTGTCCTAGGCACTGCTGACGTATCCCTGGCCTTCCAGCTGCTCTCTGGAAAGGCTGCATCACCAGTACTATTCAGGGAAATCTCATGTGTAAACTGCAAAATCTGATTTTTCATGATCTGGCACAGACATCATTGATTGGCCAGCACAGGAAATGTGGAAGAACATGGGTCACCGATGACCTCTAGTATTAAAATGGTGATGTGCGTTTCCATGTGGGGGGTGGACTAGAGCATTAGAATATGGGAACCATTCAAAAGAAATGAGGCAAGCAATAATAATAATAATAATGTTTTTATTTTACTATACTAAACTCATTACCAGTGGCAGTGTCGTATAAGGAGGGGGGAGGGGAAGGTCCGCTTTAAGTAGGAGAACCAAGTAACATTGTCCATCACACCTCCCATTTAATCACCATTTTATTTTGCTGCTACTCAATGTGCTCATTAGCAGCCCTACAACCGGGGTGGGGGCTGGGTGGCCTACACCGATCCTTAAAAACAAAAAAATGTGATACTCCCAGAAGTGGAAGAAGCCGTGGTACATCCACCATTTCAGAAATGAATCATATTAAGTGTCCACAAACTGTTATCCCGGATCTCCTCGATGTTTCATCTCAAACTTTTACAATGTGCAAAAAAACAGGAAGGGGAGGGGCTACTTACAAATCTTCAAATAAAAAGGTAACGGTTACAAAACGCGACTCGTCACTGGAGTGGATCATGTTAAAGTGCAGTAGAAAAAGATAAGATGGATTTGGAGTGGGGGGGATAGATGGAGTAAAAACCGCTCGGACCTGAGGGAGTGTTTACAGGGGGGAGGATGGCCGCTGGCTCAGCGGCGTCTCAGATGGATGATGTACTTGTTGACGGCTAAGGCTTTACAGCTGGGCGAGTCGGAAAGTCGCTCCCGGGCTTCACACGCTGATTAACCATAGAAAGAAGAAGGCAGCAATGATGAGGAACAGAGAGTCGGGTAACCCAAACATCCTGCCCTGGGGGAGGCCGGTATCTACAAAAGAACAGAGACCAAGAAAGAGGATGAAACTAAAAATCAACAATCGGACACTGGAAATCATCTATGCTTCTGAATGGTGTGAATGTGCAGAATGTAAAGCGATTGGTAAACTCTCAGCACTATATAAATACATGTAATAAATAAAACAAATAATAAGAATTTAATAGTAGAAAAAAGTTGATGGTTTTGTATCCGGAGAATCTTTCTGGGAATTGGGGGTTTGCCACTGACGGAAGCTGGGAGTTTGCTGGTCACCAGAACACAAGAGCATGCATGTTGTGAGAAGCACCTCATACTGACCAGACATTTCTCACTACCCACAAAACAATATTAAAAGGACAGGTTCATTATTTATTTTAAATCGTCGGCTCTATAGCTGAAGAACTGAACGATAAACCACTGATCGCTCAGATCACAGCTTCTCCCTGCAGAGAGAAAGGACTGTCAGTCGCTGTCCCCGCAGGGATTACTCCCTCCCCTCTCTCTGTTCTTCCAGTGCTTATTGGAGGGAGCGGGGACGGGCAAAGCTGGCTCTGGTGTTCTATCAAAGATTGTGACTGGGTTGGAATTTGTGACCGGTTACGTGGTTACACATTTTAACGTGATCACGCCCACTTTTTAGGTGGTGGAATATGTGACCGGCAAAAGATGAAGAATTCCAATGCTTTCTCAGCTGTCCCAGGGCAGATCGTCATCGCAGATGGTATGTGCAGGAGAACCGATCTGCCCTGGAACAGCTGATCGGCCTAAAATGTCACTTATATCCGAGTGCGATCTGACATTCCACAGAGTCGGATAGAAGTGACATTTTAGGACCGATCAGCTGTTCCAGGGCACATCAGTTCTCCTGCAAATACGATCTGCGATGCCGATCTGCCGTGGAACAGCTGAGAAAGCGTTTGAATTCTTCACCTTTTGCCGGTCACATATTCCACCGCCGAAAAACTGGGCGGGATTACGTTAAAATGTGTGACCACGGCACCGGTTACACATTCTAACGCAGTCACAAACTTTGATAGAACACTCTAGAGAGGCAGAACCAGCTGTCAATGAGGCAGCGGGGTGGATCCCCACAATATTATGCTGTGTACAGCCAGTAGCCCGCTATATGCTGAGTTTGGGTCACGGGAGGACATTAGTAAATGTCCTCTTGTGACCCAAAAGAGAACTAAAGCCAAAAAAAAGTTTGGCTACTGTCTCCTTTTAAATGCAATTAAAATGCCAGAGAGGTTAGGTCATCACAGTATGTACACAAATATACGGACCAACAATGGATTGCAATGGATGAAATTGAATGTGCTCCCGCCTACATCCACCCACTTCCAGGTCCACTGGACAGGAAGCAAAAGGTTTGCGTCAAGATTCACTTTCACTGACCTGAACAGAAGCGGGTGGATATACTGTAGGTAGGTTCACATCTGACCAACCACAGCAGGGGTAGCCAAACTCCGGCCCTCCAGCTGTGGTGAAACTATAAATCTCATGATGCATCTCTCTCCAGGAGTCATGTCTGTGAGAACCTTGCAATGCCTTGTGGGATTTGTAGTTCCACCACAGCTGGAGGGCCAGAGTTTGGCTACCCCTGAACCACAGTGAAATACATAGGTCCATTGTTCCCTTCATCCCAAGATGTAGGGAAACAAATCAAAACAGACATGGATGTCATATATGTGACATTAATCTCTGTTCTGATCCGACTCAGCAGGCGATTTGTCTAGGACGCCCTGCTGAGATGGAATGGACGGCGCCCATGTGAAAGAGGCCTAACTGTTCAGACGTTTTACTACTCCCTAGCACCAGTATAAACCTGTGCAGAAGGACCTGTGTGAGAGTAGCAGTGTCTGTACAGCAATTAAACACACCCTCTGCCATGTTGGTGGCTCGGCTATAGGTGTACTTACCTACACGTGGTGCTGACTGGAAGTCATTAGTGTTAAAGACTGTAGTAAAAAAGCCAAAAGGGAAAGCTCCGATGCCAAAAGACATGTGGAAGCCGGTGTCTGTGAACCCTGGAACGCCCTGTGTACAGAGAATATTACAGTTATCAATCTGGGGCATCACAATCACAATGCATTCAAAGCAATAAGCTGCAGTCTAGGAAAGAGACAAGATACCCCCTTAGAGGCAGATCAGGGCTACTAATACAAGCGGAGGTTACTGACAGCAATGCAGTGCCGCTTAGTGAGCAGAGCCTAGCATTAGAGCCAGCATCATAACCGCTTGTTTTACCATTTAGGTTCTATAGAGTTCTAGAAGCCGGTCATATTTTGAACCTCAAATCTTATAAATGGTGTTCTGTCCAATGTCTTAAACTAACAGAATGTTTTTAGATCTGAAAGTGACTCTGTCGCTCAGATAGAATTGTTAAAGTGGACTGTGCTCAAGAAAATGATCCGTGATCCTTGTATACAGGATTCATACCCTCCAAACCCCAAACCCTCCAATACCCTTAACGGCTGGCTCTGCCTCTAGATAGGCAGAGCCAGCTGTCACTCACGCAGCTAGGCGGATCTCGACATCGATGTCGGGATCCGCTCCGACTGCGGCGTCTCAGTATACCGCGAGCTGTAGCTCGCGGTATACTGAGCTTAGGGTGACGGGAGGGCGCTAGTTTGTGTCCTCCCGTTACCCTAAGGAGAACTATGGGGAAAAGCCCTGACCCCATAGTTCTCCTTTAATGCATATGTTGAGATGGGTTTCCGTTGATTTAAATGGAAAAACGCATCAAGAAAATATGCATAAAATGTATATCGGTCCAGAAATGCTTTAGTCTGTGCACGTGTAAGATTTAGCAATGAAATGCATGGAGGGTGGGAGTAGGGTTATAAAAAGTAAATGCCAAAAGGATTCCAAAGGTGCCAGCTTCAGCCACTTCCAGGAGTGTCGATCTCCTGTGTCCCCCACTGAACTCAATGGATCCTCCTGCTGACCCCCATAAAAATATGGGCCACAGTAGTGACATGGGCTCAGCGAGAGGGATCACTGAGTGCAGCAGGGAACATAGTAGACTCACACTCCCGGCATTGGCCGTTTCTGAAGAGTCTTCAGGTAGCAGGCATTTATTTTGTTAACTGTTTTATTTTAGTGGCAGAGTTGCTTTAAATGGGAAGAAAAACTTTTTGAAAAAGAGGCAAGACATCTTACTGTCAGAATAGTAATATGGACACTGGCACTCCACAATGCTGTAAGATGCGTCTCTTTAATGACGGATATGCAGCATATAGTGCAACGTTTCGGGATCTCGCAGGATCCCCTTCTTCAGGCAGAGACCCCGAAACGTTGCAATACATGTGATATGCTGCATATCCGTCATTAAAGAGACGCATCTTACAGCATTGTGGAGTGCCGGTGTCCATATTACTATTCCTACTTGAGAACGGCTGCCATCCGTTGTCACCGCAGCACCCATCTATTTTGCATGGCGAAAAGCGGTGAGTGCGATGGGTTCATGGACTAACATCTTACTGTCAGAGGGACATATATTCATAGGATGAAGGTGGCATTCAGGAGTATTGATGTGCCTTGATTCAACCTCATTCACTGAAATTTGTGAGCTATAAATCTGCACCAGTTCAGTAAGCAAATGTTGGAGTAAGCAGATGAGAGCGTAGAATGCATGTGGCGTCAAGCAGAATCAAGCCCATCATACCGTCACGTGATGGGCTAACAGCATTAAATGACTAGGGCAAAGGCACTTGATCTAAATACGATTGCAGTCGGATGACAGGGCAAACTGGGACTTATAGTTCCAACTCATGTCACCAAAATCCGCTCTGCACAGAGGAGACAAGTGCAGTTATCACATTTTGTTTTCCAAGCTGCATTTCCTATCACAGCAACAACAGCGCCACCTTGTGTCTACAAGCCGGTATGGATTCTTTATCTGAAGGACTAATGGCTCTTACCAACCACAGCATTTATGTGTAAACGTTTCTGGATGGTTTCTGAATTTAAAGTAAAAGGAGATGCTGGTCTACATCCAGTGAGGACACACAAGCAATATACACAGATTAGGAAAACACACACACGAAGAAAGTTAAATGGAGGATCTACCAATAACAACCTACCCCTCTGTTCTCTGGTTCTGGTCTCTGTCCTTGAGGTCTTGGAGGGGTCTTCAACCTGAGAAAAAGGCGAAAATAACAATTTGACACAATACAAGTCTCATACAGCTCTCTTCTGTCTGTGTCACCCTGCAGGAGGAGGGACAGACCCAAACCTCCCTTCTGTCCGTGTCACCCTGCAGGAGGAGGCAGACAGGCTCATAGCTCCCTTCTGTCTGTGTCACCCTGCAGGAGGAGGACAGACTCAAACCTCCCTCCTGTCTGTGTCACCCTGCAGGAGGAGGACAGACTCTGAGCTCCCTTCTGTCTGTGTCACCCTGCAGGAGAAGGACAGGCTCATAGCTCCCTTCTGTCTGTGTCACCCTGCAGGAGAAGGACAGACTCAAACCTCCCTCCTGTCTGTGTCACCCTGCAGGAGGAGGACAGACTCTGAGCTCCCTTCTGTCTGTGTCACCCTGCAGGAGAAGGACAGACTCAAACCTCCCTCCTGTCTGTGTCACCCTGCAGGAGGAGGACAGACTCTGAGCTCCCTTCTGTCTGTGTCACCCTGCAGGAGAAGGACAGGCTCATAGCTCCCTTCTGTCTGTGTCACCCTGCAGGAGAAGGACAGACTCAAACCTCCCTCCTGTCTGTGTCACCCTGCAGGAGGAGGACAGACTCTGAGCTCCCTTCTGTCTGTGTCACCCTGCAGGAGAAGGACAGACTCAAACCTCCCTCCTGTCTGTGTCACCCTGCAGGAGGAGGACAGGCTCATAGCTCCCTTCTGTCTGTGTCACCCTGCAGGAGGAGGACAGACTCAAACCTCCCTCCTGTCTGTGTCACCCTGCAGGAGGAGGACAGGCTCATAGCTCCCTTCTGTCTGTGTCACCCTGCAGGAGAAGGACAGACCCATAGCTCCCTTCTGTCTGTGTCATCCTTCAGGAGGAGGACAAGCTCATAGCTCCCTTTTGTCTATGTCACCTGGGGTCTTGCTGGCTGGCGTCTCCTCTGCCATATATTGGGATGACATTCTCTCGGCTGATGCCTGCTTTACATACCGGACATTCCTGGCGCTCTGGCCGCGTTTCGAACCACTAAAAGCAGGAAATGAGACAAGTACATACATAGAATAATAATAATAATAATAATAATAATAAATCAAAGCATTTACAAAACAAGTTCTGAAGATGTCAGGCTTTGAATATGGGTAAGGGTTCTGCTTGCCAGTGCGTTTCATTATCAGGTCATGACTCAGACATCTCAGAGCTTGTGCAATATTATTCTCTGACACAGTGACCTTTCCACCGCCAGTCTTGTAAGGGGACAAACACCCATCAGAATGGGCTTCGCTGGATACGCATTGTTTTTTTTTTGTTTTTTAATCTCCAAGCTTGTAACATAAACAACAAGAATACTGAGTTGGTATAACAAACAATCAGCTATTGCCTTTCTTACCTTAAATGAGAACTTTCCACTCATCCTCATTGTTAGAGCCGACCTGTGACAAACAAGCTGTCACAGGTCGGCTCTATTGATCAGCAAGTGAGCAGAAACTTGCCGCCGATCCGCTCACTTCCCGATCGTCTCCCTGCACTGATCAGTGACTGTCAGTCACCGCTACCCGCAGGGATTCCCCTCTCCGATCCTCCAGTGCAGAGTGGAGGAACAGACGAGGGAGGGGGCGGGTACAGCTGGCTCTACCTCTAGATAGGCAGAGCCAGCTGTCACTCACGCAGCTGGGTGGATCTCGACAGTTATTGTCGGGATCCATCCCAGCTCTGGCGCTCTTGGTATATGGCCGGCAATAGCCCGCTATATACTGAGCTTTGGGTCACGGTAGGAGGTTAGTATATGTCCTCCTGTGACCCTAAAGAGAACTATGGGGAAAAACACTTACCCCCTAGTTCTCTTTTGAAGCAGAACGGAAGTAAAACAATAAAATATTGCTAGGAGGTAGAATTTCTGGCAAAAGAGTCTTGCAAATTCTCTTCCACCATATAAAGTCTTCCTCTTGTTCAGTGCTGAGTACACCGTCAATTTATTCCCGACATCAGTAAGGTGCTGGGTATAAGACCAGGTGCCAAGACTATGTAACCCCAGTGAGCATGTGCAGGAGGTGCATCATTATTGGCTGCCAAAAAGCAGGAGGAGGAGGAGGTCAGCAGCGGTGACAGTAACAAGGGGGATCGCAGAAGGTGCTCATTCTAAGGCTGGGCACACACCTTATAGCAGAGAAAATATTTCAGTCACTATACATGTACAATGTATCACCTATTGTGGAATCAGATCCATAGCAGATGTCCGTCTGAGGCTGGGCACACACCTTCCAACCATCGCAAGACTTTTGTCTTGCGATGGTTGTAAGGTACTTAAAAAAACGTACGATCTGCCTATCTTGCATAGGCAGATCGTACTTGCGATGATCGCAAGCCAAGCCCCCTGAGGGGCGAGCTTCCGATGACTGCAATGCCGAACGGGCAGCGTGCGCTTGCGCACACCGGCCCGTACGGCTGTTATCGTACGGACATCGTACGATGCTCGGCGGGTTTTCGAACATGTCCGTAAGTTAAAAGTCGTGCGACCTTACAGTAGTAGAGGTCGCACGGCTTCCACACACCTTACGATAATCGTATGATCGCGGGATTTCCCGCAATTATCGTAAGGTGTGTGGGGACCTTTAGAGATAAGTGTGCACGTATGCTGTGCAAGCAATGGCAATAGTCCTCTCCCCCACCTATAGAAGAAGTAACGTTCCCCTTTAACCCTTATGCTGCTACCGACCTATGCCATACGTTGCTGACAGCGGGCCCATTTAAACACTGGAAGCCGAGATGCTGCCAGATCACTTCCAGAGGTCGGTGTAGTCAGGGCCGGCCTTAGGCCTTTAGGCGCCCTGTGCGAGAAAGCTTTACAGCGCCCCTCAGTGACCACACCCTTAATTGGCCACACCCCCAGTAACCACACCCATTTATCACCCATATTTTTGGTAAAATATAAAAGACGGGGTCACGTCGGGTAAATAGACACCAAACATGCCATGCTTTAAAATTGCGCGCACCCGGAAAATCCCAAAAAATTACCATGCCCAAAATTGGCCATAGGCGACACATTAAAAGCTTTTACCGCTGTTTTATAGATAGGAAAGCAAAAAGCTTGTGGTGTCTGCTCTATGGCAGGTCTTCCATTTCTTTTTCAATGGCTGACAGGCCCATTTAAAAGGGAACATATCAAGACAGAAATACGTTTCTTTACTGGAAGTCCGAAGAGGGCTACCCTCTCTTTGAGAGCAGAGGATGTAGAGGGGGCGCCTTCTTTGGGACACCACGGCCCTCGATCTCTCAGCAAGACCAGAAGGGGTCATTTTTTTTTAGCTAATGTATATAATATATGCAAGTATAAGACGTGTATAAGTATGCGTGAAGCTGCCATAACATATGCTGCATTTAGAAAAAATATACCCCAACGCATGACAAAAAAATACCTAAAAACACAAGTTGACACTTCTATATAAAAACCTATTCAAACCCCACATTCTAGATCCTTTAAAATATTTCACAAATGCATTTAAGCAGCAAAATGCCTTTGTATGCTAATCCTTAAATGCACATTTCAAACCTCTGTGTGACCTTTGCTTCTACTGCCTGAACACTTGATGTAGCATGACCTCAAACTGAATGCAGACACTAAGCAATGCTTGACGTGGCAGGTCTCTGTGTACATGTGCAAGGTGTCTCCATGTACAAGTGTCAACACTGACGTTTCCCAATCCACCAATAGGATCCTCCGAACAGATCACTATGGGCTGGGTTTGTCCTCCAGGAACCCAGAAAAGAAATAGCTGTATGCTGAAGGCAGCGACTATGTGACCTGAGCCGCCCCCGGGCTTATCATTGTTCCAGGACACTCAGGCTTATTCTGCAACAACAAAACACAAACATGACTTCCAACCCGACTTGTTTGGCTGCTGTGGGCTACTACATGTCGCACATTTAAACCATTGGTCTTCCTTCCCATCTACCTCTTCCTTCTGTTGGAGACAGTGTGGTCAGAGGGGTACACTGCCTCATATTTGGTGGCAGTGCCCTTTGCTCCAACAATACTGAGCCTCTGTTTTTCAATTTGTTCAAGCGGTTACTTTCATTCCTTGCAGGGCCAACCCGCAAATGGCTTTGCTGGGAGTGGGGCTTACTGACTGGCCTCTTCCCTCTCGTGTCTTTGCGACACGTACATTTATTGCAGCAAGACTGGCCATAGCCCGACTCTGGAAACAACAGACGATTCCTACATTAAATATGGTGATTGACATTATTAATACCATGCCCATTTCGAGTACCTCTTTGCTAAAGCACACCTTAGGCGGGGTTCACACCTAGGCGTATCGAATATGCGTGTGTGTCGCGCGATTCGCGGTAAAAACGCACGTTTCCGAGGGCTACTTGGCTGTATTCCAATGGAAACGCGCGACAAAAACGCCCCAAAGAAGCTCCTTTACTTCTTTGGGCGTAGGGCGTTTTGTAGCGCGTTCATGCGGCCTGTAATACGCCCAGGTGTGAACCATACCCATAGGAAATAATGGGATTTCGGTGTTTGAGCATTTTGCAGAGCGTAGGAACGCGCTACAAAACGCCCAGGTGTGAACCGGGCCTTAAAAGGAGAACTATGAGGTGAGTGCTTTGCTTTTCACTCACCTCATAGTTCTAGCCGACCTGTGACAATGAGACTGTCACAGGTCAGCTCAGTAGATCGGGAGGTGAGTGAACACATACCGGCATTCGCTCACCTCTCGATCCTGTCACGGCTCTCTGCCGTGACAGGGGAGGGGCTGGATTCCCCCCTCCGATCCGCCAGCGCTGACTGGCGGAACGGACGGGGAGGGGGCGGGTACAGCTCGCGGTATACTGAGCCTAGGGTGATGGGAGGACGCTAGTTTGTGTCCTCCCGTTACCCTAAGGAGAACTATGGGGGAAAGACTTGACCCCATAGTCCTCCTTTAAGGAATGTATGTTTCTTGGAAAGTGGGAGTGTTGGATACAAGATGGTAGGTGTACCACAACTGTTTTGCCAAATTGTGCGGTGTTGGGATCTTGCTTAAACTTCTCTGTAAGACTATGTACCCCAATCGTATACCTTCTTATAGCCTCCTAGTGTATGCCTATACTCACTATTGATAACCAATCTTATCCGTGTAACCAGTTTGCTTAGATTGATAGAAAAGTAACCTACTATTCTAGATATCTGGTTGTTTGTATTCTTTTCTGTTTTACCCCTCCCTACCCCCCTTGTGGAATGCCTATTCCCCTCCTTCTTACCCCTCAAATCCCCATCAGACCTAGACACACTGAACACTGCATGTTGGTTCAAGGCATGTTACTGAAGAGCTATGTGACCGAATATCAAGATGATATAGGCCTAGTGCCTGCTGTTTATTCTGCAGTTTACCTAACTGTTTTGTTCTTACACTATGCGTCTAAACTGCGTTTTGTCTCATGTACAACTAGCTCTCTATATAAGCGTTTGAATGTCTTGAATATTGTATATTGGAATGGCAATATTTATGCTGCATTTGTGTCTTAGGTTGAGCAAAATCTTAATAAAAACTTATTGTCGAAAAAACCATTGGGCTTCTGATGCAACACAACATCTTAAAAATCCGATGTGTCACTACATTTTTACTGCAACGTGCTATGGTGATTTGCAGCGTGTTGCAACACTTGCACATTGCCTTAGTGCAGGGGTGGGCAACTCTAGCTTTCCGGCTGTTGTGGAACTACAAGTCCCATGAGGCATTGCACGACTGACAGCCACAGGGATGACTCCAAGAGGCAGAGGGATTTGTAATTAAAGCAAAGCTGGTGGGCTGGAATTGCCCAGTGCTGCCTTTGGCCTCATTCACACGGGAAACGGCCGGCACCTACATCTCCATGCTGCGTGCACGGCCGTATCGGGCAGCTCCCGGGACGGACAGGTGCTGCGTGTGATTAGTACCCAGCCCCTATCTTTCTCTATGGGACTATGCGGCCATACACCACCCTATGCTCACCCGCCCCGCATGTCCGTGCGGGTGCCTGTACTCGTACGCTGACAGCGTCCGAGCCGGGACACCCGCACCCGTATGGACCTGCACTTGAGGTTAGCGTAGGGCGGCGTACAGACGCGCAGTCCCATAGAAAAGGACAGGGGCTGCGTACTAATCACACGCAGCACCTGTCCTTTTCCCTTTTCTGCAGCCCGCGCCACCAAACACCGCTGTAAAGTAGAGATATCACCACCGCTTTCTTTCCATTCCAACCTCCATAGGGGTCTTCGGCATTCAAAACTAAATGGAAGTATTGGACTTGCACAGGCATTTGTAATGTTCTCCCCCAGCCTCAGGTTCATATGGAGGTCCAGACTTGCTGTTATGGGGCTGGAGGAAGTGAAGCTGGACTACAGAGCAGAGAGGAGGGACTGCCAGTGCGCTCCACATTAGTTCCTCTGCCACAGTACAGATGGGACATGTATAAATCCTTGTCTGAAAAAAAACCCCAACTAGATAATGCGTGTGTGTGTGGACGGAGCCAGGAACAGCCACATCATCTACGAAGAATTTCTACTTGTCCCGAATAATCACAGAATTCTCCTGGAAGATGCACTCCGCAATTCAGGAAAGGGAAGGAGGGGCAGTTTGGGTGTAGCAGGAACATTGTCAAAAATGTGGAATTAGCCTTTAGACCCAGTTCACAACATTTTCTAGACCAGATCTGGAACACGGTGCATTGCGTTTTGACACGTTTTTGTTTTTTTAGGTTAAAATGGGCTTTCAAGTGCGGTCCAGTGCCATCCAGACCAGATAAAATGAGACAAGCAGTATTTTTTTTTGTGTCTGGTCCAGAGCGGAGTGCGTTAACAGAGCACAGAAATACCTTAGGTATACATTACAATGTTTTTTTTGGTCCGGGAACAAACTGTTCTGGTCTGAACATGATCCGGACATGGTGTGAACAAGCCCTGAAAGTGTATATTAGGGTTGCAACTAATGAATATTTTCATCATCAGTTATGTGGCCAATTATTTTTCTGATTAAATCAGATTTAAAAAAAATTAAATAAAAATAAAAGGACACAAATGGAGTGTTACAAACATAAAAATTACACAATTGCACAATTTTTTGCAATTGCACTGCAACGGAACGCACAGCATTGTGGCACCGCACATTCCAGTGTGGGCGGCGCATTTGGGGTGTCATTAAAATTAATAATTGTATTGTAAGCACACAGCGTTGGAATAGCCTCAGCCAGGGAATGACAGCGGCCAGTGGCAAGATTCCACAGACGGCAGCAGGTAGTGGGCGGGTGCAATAGCCAGCCTGTTATTGGCCATTTCTAATAGCAATAGCAGGCTGACTATTGCACCCGCCCACTACTTACTGTGCCATCTGATCGGAGGGGACACAGAGCTGATAAAACAACATCTCCCAGCATGGAGGAGAGAGCTAGGCAATCCAACCAACTAATCGATAAAGAGAATAGTCGACAACTATTCTCATCATCGATTATTATGGATTAATCGATTAATTGGTTGCAGCCCTAGTGTATATGTCATTGCATATGCCAGAGAACATGCAAAATTCAAGCCATGGGTGGCCCTGTTGGCACCTCTCCTCTTGATAAAAGTCGACTTCTCAATTGCTTTTTGTTTAAGGATCTGGTTGGAAAATGTTCGGCCACATAATGCCTGCATCTAATCAGCAGCGGCTGATTATAGCACAGTGGGAGGGAATGGGGGTTCCTTCAGACACACGGTTTAGGGAGCGTTCACACTATCCAGACCCTACACAAACCCTCCCTGCATTCTGGGGCAGGAGGGAGCGTGGTGGTGTCATTAATTTCAATGGCACCGCAGACACACCTCCCACCCACAGTGTGGTCGCCCGCACCAGAACACATGGTACCGCAATACCCTCAGTTCTAGTTTGGTGCGATCTCAAAAAGTCATGCTTGCACTGGATAGTGTGAACGGGCCCTTGGACTGAATGAAAAAAAAAATCTATTATTGTATGCCCAGCCTTAGGTGGCAGCTAAAAAACTCTAGAAGACCCAATTTTTCCCAGGGACACGGCCTATGAACTAGTCATATTACTGTGGAATAAGGCACAATATGCACTACACCGGCCTTGTGTCACATATACATGTGTTGTGTAATCATATAATGGCAGATGACTCAGCAGAATTATGGCACAACCTGAAAAAAAATGTCTCCCTCCTACATGTACAGGCGACACCAGGTAGTTCTGACGATAATCACTTTATAGATTAGCAAAGTACAAAACACAGGTCACATACCTGATGCAGACACGGCCAGCTGCAAAACAAGAAAAAACAACAATCAGTATGGACATTATTCCTATAATATTATAATGATGCAATATACTGCAGCATACAGGTGACACTGTAGAACTAAGGGCCAGACAAGTCCCAGCGGGTGGAAGCTGGGGGTAAGGTTTGTATTTCTCTTGTAAATTTCCTCCATGGATTTTGTTGTTAAATATGGGATGTTGCATGGAGGTGAGGTCCATTATTGAATAAGCAAACCCTGCATTTCAATGTCCACTTTAATATCAATGAATTGTTAGAAGAAACTTGAAAACATTTATGGGCACCTTGGCTTCCTTCTGAATCCAACATGATCACCAATTTAAAGAATCCGCTCTTCATTGACCACCAACCAACGTGAGGGGGACCTCCTCCCACTGATCACCAATCTAAGAAAGCCCTTCTCCATTGCCCAATAATGTAATGGGACGTTCTCCCACTGATCACCAATATAAGGAAGCCCTTCTCCATTGCCCAATAATGTAATGGGACGTTCTCCCACTGATCACCAATATAAGGAAGCCCTTCTCCATTCCCCAATAATGTAATGGGACGTTCTCCCACTGATCACCAATATAAGGGAGCCCTTCTCTATTGATCACCAATGTAAAGAGGACCCTTTCCCACTGATCACCAATCTGAGGGAGCCCTTCTCTATTGACCACCAATGTAAAGAGGAACTTCTCCCACTGATCACCAATCTAAGGGAGCCCTTCTCTATTGACCAACAATGTAATGGGGACGTTCTCCCACTGATCACCAATATAAGGGAGCCCTTCTCTATTGACCACCAATGTAAAGAGGAACTTCTCCCACTGATCACCAATCTGAGGGAGCCCTTCTCTACTGATCACCAATATAAGGGAGCCCTTCTCCATTGACCACCAATGTAAAGAGGACCCTTTCCCACTGATCACCAATCTAAGGGAGCCCTTCTCTACTGATCACCAATGTAAAGGGGACCTTCTCCTACTAATCACCAATGTAAGGAAGCCCTTCTCCATTGACCAATTGACCACCAATGTAAAGGGGACCTTCTCCTACTGATCATCAATCTAAGGAAGCCCTTCTCCATTGACCATAAATGTAAAGGGGACCGTCACCCACTGATCACCAATATTTATTCTTATACCGCAACTTACGATTCACGTTAACGTACCATGAGCTTTAGACATACCGTATTTGCCGGCGTATAAGATGGGTTTTGAGACCTTAAAACATCCCCCGAAAATCGGGGGTCGTCCTATACGCCGGGTACATACGGAAGGATACAGTATACTGTATGTAGCTTCGGCTACATACAGTATACCGCGCTGAGCCAATCACGACAGGCTTTGTATTAATGAATATAAAGCCTGTATTCCTGCCGTGATTGACTCAGCGGAAGACGGAGGACACAGAGGGGATCGTGGACAAGGTAAGAGACTGTAATCCCGAGTGTGGCTCGGGGGTTACCGCTTATGGTACTGAAAATTAACCCCCGACCGACACTCGGGAATACTGCCATGGAGGTTAGTGGGTGCATTTAAACATTATTTTGGGCTATACTCGTCTTATACGACGAGTATAGCCCAAAACCTATATATATTTTAACACAGTAGGGGTTCGTCTAAAGTTTAAAAGGGGTTTAAAAGTAGGGGGTCGTCTTATACGCCGGCAAATACGGTAGTAATTATTCGTAGAGGTTCCATAAGACCTGAAAGTTATCTTAGGGGTCCCTCCATAATAAAAAGATTCAGAATACCGCTTTAGAGGTTTTGAAGAAAGCTTCTCAAAAGTTGCAAAAGCTTTGTAAAAACTTGCTGTGCACACTGCTCCGATACAAGATGAGGCCGCAGGGTACAAACCCTGTTCCCAAAAGATGACTTTCATACAATATTTACAGCAGAAACAATCGGGTGTACAATGAGTCACGTGGCAGTGCCAGACACACCTCAGGCCAGGGAGGACTCTGTACAGCTTCACACAGCTCTGCCCACACCTATGTTTCCCAGCCCTTGTATTATGGCACAATATTCTATAAAAAGTTTAAGGTTGCCAAAGTAATATAAACTAATATAAATCATAATAAAGAAGCTTTTATTGCCATGATCCTTAAAAACACATAAAAGAATACAGGTCCATGCAACTATATGTACCAATATACAACCTTCCATGGTTGGTATATTATAGAACTGTATTTACCAATATATCGCCTTTATACCCTCAAACACTCACTGCTCAGCAAACGCAGATATCTTTACCAATCAGGGAGGAAGATATTTCAGGGGTCTGAAGGGCCACTTTAAGTTCCCAATTGAATATACACTGAGTGGCCAGATTATTATGACCACCCCATCAGTACTTCGTTGGGCCGCCTCGTGACTCCACGAGATGTTGAAAGGTGATGCGAGGAATCTGACACGGCACTGTTGCCGTTCTGTTGTCTTGTACCAGTCTTGCCACTCTCCGTTCTGCCCTAACATTGACTAGTCGCTGACGGCCACAATTCGCACGTTCAGACCCAGATTTTCGGCTGACAGTCCAGTCTTTAAACACTTTAACAACAGCTGCTCTTGAACATGTAACGAATTCTGCTGTTTTGCTGATACTCGCTCCATGGCTCCGAGCGCCAACAATCATCCCGCGTTCAAAGGCTGTTAAATCGCGTTGTTTCCCCGTATCTTCACAAACAAATCACTTCTACTGTCGTGGTAAACAACCCGCTTCCCTATTTATAATGGTCTGGCCCTCTAGCAACTTCAGCACAAAATTATAGCTAATTTGCCTACAAACGTCAGGTGGTCATAATAATCTGGCCACTGATGCTGTGTTCACACCTGGGCGTACGGAATACGCGCGTTTGTCGCACGTTTTTACAACGATTTGCAGTAAAAGAAACGTGCGACAAACACGTTTTCGAGGGCTTTCCGGCTGTATCCTAATGGATACGCGCGACAAATACGCCCCAAAGAAGCTCCTGTACTTCTTTGGGCGTAGGGCGTTTTGCAGTGCATTCCTACGCGCTGTAAAACGCCCAGGTGGGAACCATGCCCATAGGCAATTATTGGTTTTCACATGTTGATCGTTTTACAGTGCGTAGGAACGTAGGTGTGAACCAGGCCTTAGTGTATACCAAGATTCTGGTAGTAGTACCCACATGAGCAGCGACACATCAGACAGCTCCAGTGATCCCACACCAGAAGCTTCTTTTATTTGCTGTGATATAGTTTATGACATTTATATTTCAATTTGGCACCTAAAAAGGTCCTATAAGCCAGGGTTGGACAAACCAGAAGCCAGGTAGCCAATGCCCCTTAAAAATTACAGCCGCCACCTGATTTTTCAGGTTTTCCCTAGCTGTCAATGGAGCCGGCTCCTACAAAAAATCCTGCTGGATCCTGAATTCATTGGTCCACCGCTGCTGTATACAAATAAGTATCTTCTATGGAGTACCATGCATGGATGGGGCGGTGGTGTCTACACAAAGCGCCAGTTCAATACACCGGTGATTTTACTACGTACCATGCAATGCAATATGAATTTACGGCTCATGTATACTCGATGCTGTGAGAGAGTTCAGAACCCAGACTGGCTTGGTGCCTGAATTCGAAGCTGTCATCACACTATCAGTTTATTGCCCGCAGCATGTGAGTTCCCGGGTCACAGTACTGCCTATGTGTACTGATTGCTGAGATCTCAGTATTATCAAACCATCAGACTGCCTGAGGAACACTGAAAGAATGAAATGTAATCACCCCAAAAGATCTGACAGATGTCAGGGATCACTGACACCTCCGTGATTAAAAAACCACACGCATGCTTCTAAATCCGATGACTACATTTCCATATAAACTTTTTAACATGGAAACGGCATTTGAAGTGTATTTAAATCTGCCGCTTCCTACGTCCTGCCCTGAATCCAGACAGTCCAGGACCACAATAGAGACTATCATGATGGTGAATGGTAGAACACTGAGGAACATCAATTCAACGATGTCCCCTGCAGATTGTGAACATGGAGGTGCTCAGCTCTGCGCATTTTCAGGTTCACAGCTGTCAAACGGTATAGGATGGCTGCTGCTCTCCACGCCTGTATCGGCAGAGGCCACAGAGTTCGCAGGGGACACAGACTGGTGCCCGCCGTGGAGGACAGAAGTTTTCAGGAGGACGAGAGAGGCAGCGCGGGGAGAGCTGTCACAGGAGGCTGAGCTCTACTCCCGCACCGCCCGGCCTCCTTTGACAGGCGGAGAAGTCAGGATGGAGAGCAGGTACAAGCAGTCAGTGATCGCTGAGTGTTTGTAAATAATTGGGAGGACAGAGTATGGTTACTATATCCACAATTATGACTGAACAGGAAGTGCTCTACGTCATCTCCTGTTCATTCATGATTATGGGCATAGTAACTTTTACTATCTCCTCATGTTATGAATAAACAGGAACACTCAGTATAGAGGATTCCTGTTCCTTTATAACAGCGGCTGCAGAATAAGAGACTTAGGTCTCCGTGTTCTCAATCTATTTATCAATTTCAAAAGGGAAATATCAGGGGTCTGTTTAGAGCCCTGATATTTCCCCGAAGACCCCAAACAGGAAAGTTAAAAAAAATTAATTATAAATAATTTAAAAATGTTAAAAAAGGCTGGGGGAAAAAAAAAAATTTTTGGTTTCGGCCTGACAAATTTTCGGTTTTGGTCTAAAAATTCTATTTTGGTGAATCAAGAATTTTAAGAGAAGACAAATCCAGTGTTTCTGATACACGGTGCTTCAGCAATCCAAGTGTCAGTCAGTAGGGTTCATATCTGATCAGCATTTTCAGGGGTGCAGCTGTGCGTTATATATGGCCACCGTTCATGAAGTGTGTGTGTGTGTGTGTATACATACACACACACACACACACACACTTACATAGAAGCATCCCCATCAGTAGGAGCTCACACTCTAATCTCCCTCCTAGGCTCACACACTACAGCCAGTCCTTTCAGGTGGGAACCGCTGAGCCTTTCAGTGTGTCAGCTGCAGGAAGGAAACCCATGAAGAGACCCCATAGCATTCCAGGGGGGTGGAAACCACAGGCCCAGAGCTGCAAGGCCTGAGTTCTGACTGATCCATTACCTGAATCCCCAACCAGAAGCAGCGCTCTCTAATCAGCAGGGAGCGCAAGCTTTGCCAACTAGCTCTACTTCAGCACCTCTACGTGGCACCTATGCAGAGAGACCTCTGCTTCCTTACACAGCAACACAGCATAACATGCATTGATACTGTGCAACAGTGTTAACTGAACCTTCAGCTTTAAAATCTGCTGAATACATTCCAGGTGTATCAAAACAAAAAAGGTCTTCAGTGTCGTACAGTTCATTTTTTTTAGAAAGCAGCCGCAGCCTGGGTAGAGAAGCCTGTCCCCTGCCAGCATGCTGCAGAGAAGGACCCTTGGAAGCAGTGGTCTCTCTGCAGAGGTCTAATACACCCCCTGCTGAGTCAGAGCTCTTTGATCAGCAGGGAGCAGAGAGACCACACTAAGGTGCCATTATACAGCATGCTGGCAGGGAGCAGGCTATGCTACTCTGGCTGTGGCTGCTTTCTAAAGAAAACAAAGTGAAGACATTGGTTGGAAATATGCATCATCATCGCACGTTACCATGTGTTGCTGCACATTACAATGCATTGTTTTGGATGTCAACACATGCCGCTGCGCATAGCAACACGCATCATGGTGCACTTACATGCATTATGGTGCATCTTTCGCAAGTGTTAACATGCATGTTGATGCACTTCCATTGATTTCAAGGAAAGACACCTGAAGCAAAAATTCACCTGAGCCGATAGGTGCAGCGGAGTCAAAATCGACTCGAGCTCTCTAGATTGGCCAAACACGTCTCTGGTTTCTGCAATCAAATTGCATTAAGTGGATACGTGTGTGGACCAACAACGACCCCATTCTGTACACACACATAGACAAGTTGCCATCCCTGAACCCCATCATCAATATGACTTCAGATCGCCGGCACAGGCAGGTCCTCTTACCAGTACAGATGGCCGCACACACTGACCACCGGCTCCCGGGCCGTCTCCAGGCAGATATTACATTCATAAGCCGCCCCGGGGCTGCCAGCAGCCGCCGCCATGGCAACCCAAAGAACCGGAACCGAACCGGGAGGAGCGTCACGGGAGACGTCAAGCAGCCGATTGGGCAAAAGAGAGATCAAAAAGCGCAGTCTATTGGCCGATCGACCTTTACGTCACAGCTTGAAAGACTCATTGGACGAGCTTGTCCCGCCTTCGCTGCGTGATGCAAGACGGTGTAATTCACAAAAGACAGCGTTGATAGGCTGCACGGGCGGACAGGGAGGTTCTGATTGGCCGGAATAGCTGTGCGTCATATTTTTGTCCCACACGATTATGTGATACAATGGTTTTTTTTTAAAATTAAACAGAACTTTATTGACACACAGGAATAATAAACAATTTGTGTAAACAACACTAGAGGTAAGGTGACCAGATTTTTAAAATGAAATCCGGGGACTTTTAATTTATTGGCAAATGGTAAAAAAAATCTATTTTATTAGCATATTTTCCTCAAATTATATATGCAATTTATCAAAACTGGAACAGGTCCGGTTTAAATAGTAACCAGCACACGCTGCATGCAGCTTCTGACAGCGTGGGAGACGGGAGGCTGTGCTCGTCGGTGGATCCATAATACAGTCAATAAACCCATCGCACTCAGAACCGCTGTTTTCAAAGTAGTAGAATGGGTGCTGCGGCTGCCGACGGATGGCAATCATCACAGGGAGAAATATATAGACACCGGCACTCCAATAGCAAATCAACTAGGTCTATTTATTGACGAATATGCAGCATAGCACTGCATGACACACTTATTGCAATGTTTCGGGGTCTCGCAGGATCCCCTTCATCAGGCAAAACAAGCGATAAGGGTGTCGCCACAAGAATATATATACAGCAAATGTGAAGACAAACCAATCCCAGAGTCTGCTGTGATCATGTGACGGCGCAATGACGTCATACTCCCGCCATTGTTCAAAGTAAACCCATACCGCAATCATACATTAGAGACTGAAGCATATCGCCACACACATGAGCGAGAGTCTAGGTGTGATCTAATGTAAAACAAAGGAGAGGTCAGTACCCCAAAGACACATAGTGATAGTAGGGTTGCCACCTGTACAGGATTCACCTGGACAGTCCAGGATTTGAGTGCTGTGTTCGGGTTTCATGGCAGCAGAAGCCCACAAGATGTCAGGCAGACAGGGGCAACCAAAATTAAGATAGGGGCTACTGGCCCCCCACTAAAAATAGTCTCAACTGTGATATTTACATATGAAGGGGTGATGCTATTTACATAGGAATAAGCCACAACACATTCTCCCCCAAAAAATGTCCTTGCGCCGCAACAGTATTCGAGTTTTGCTTCAAGAAAAGGTGGCAACCCTAAGTGATAGCCAGGCTGAGGTCCGTGCGTATATATACAGTAAACAGCGGTACGGTTCGGGAAGCCATTAGATCGTAGGGGAAGTTGTATGCCGCTGTCTTCCATCATGGCGCCCATCCTGTGTCCAGTCTAGGGGGGGAAAAAAGTTAGTTGCCTTGCCGCACTTCTTACCGGAAACCCCAATTCCACACGTGGGGTGCTTGTAATAACCACGGATGTATAGGGGAGAGGCTGCAGCGTCAGAATGACGTGACTCCAGCCTCACCCTCTCTGGGCCGTCACAGGTGCAGCGAGACTGGTGCTGGGATAGGCCGCACACACCCGTGGATAGACAGTAGACATTCCCAAAAGACAAGACGGCTATTAAATGCAGGGGGGGTAGGAATTGACTCTCCTGGAGTAGTCAGATGTCCTTACAAGTTCAAAAGCACATTGCAAGTGAATAGCCATGGTCACATAAAAAGAGGCTGGTGGGGGGTCACCATACACATTGCATTCTGACCAGCAGTGGTGTCACGCGGGGAGGTGCTGCCCAGGTGACAGCATTGGACGGGTGACACTAAAATGACTGACAGTCATTTTGGCGTCACCCCCCCTGAAAAATCAGGCACTCAGTCATGGACCGAGAGCTCGACAGTTGCTCAAGAGAGGAGGAGACCCGGCGGCATACCTTATCAGGCCGGGTGAACGTCCCCTCCTTTCTCTGCCGGCATCCATCACCAAGATAACAGAGGTACAGTGCATGACATCTTCACGAGTGTGCGCGATGACGTCACACGCGTACTCGATTACACCACTGTGGGGTATCACCCGGTCACCCCGCCTCGGGACACCTCTGATTTCCGGGGACATAATTTGTCCGGGGACGGTCTCCTAAATCCGGGGACTGTCCCCGGAAATCGGGGACGAATGGTCAACCTAACTAAGGGGGGAAATCAAAACTGGAGCTGATAGAATGTGGAGCTTCTCTCTTCAGTTTGTTCAATTAAAGGAGAACTATGGGGTTAAGGATTTTTCCCCATAGTTCTCCTTAGGGTAACGGGAGGGCACAAACTAGCATCCTCCCGTCACCCTAGGCTCAGTATACCGCGAGTTGTAGCTCGCGGTATACTGAGACGCCGCATCTGAAACGGATTCCGACAATTGTGCCGGGATCCGCCCACCTGCGTGACTGACAGCTGGCTCTGCCTATCTAGAGGCAGAGCCAGCTGTACCCTCCCCCGTCCGTTCCGCCAGTCAGCGCTAGCGGATCGGAGTAAGGAGGGGGGAATCCAGCCCCTCCCCTGTCACGGCAGAGAGCCGTGACAGGATCGAGAGGTGAGCGAACGCCGGTATGTGTTCGCTCACCTCCCGATCTACTGAGCCGACCTGTGACAGTCTCATTGTCACAGGTCGGCTAGAACTATGAGGTGAGTGAAAAGCATTCACCTCATAGTTGTCCTTTAAGCTTTGAAAAAATAGAAGCTGATTGGCTGCCATGGGGAACTGCTCTGGATTCTGTCTGCTCCAGTTTTGATAAATTCCCCTCCGTTGTTCAGACAGGCACAGCAGCCAGAACTAGTGCTGGGGAAATAGAAAACTGGTCCATCAACAAGAGGATTTTTATTGCATATGTATACTATTGTTTATCAGGTAGCACTGGAATAACATGTTGCATTCATTACATGAATGGGTCACTTCACCTAAAAAAAATTGCCTGTGCAGTCAACAAGCCCCAATTGGAAACAATAAAGCCACTTTAGAAATCTTCATTAATGTACCCTCCATACCTGTAGGCCATTTGCGCCCCCGCCGAAGCCTGCCAAGTAATTCCCAGTACTCGGCATAGTTCCTACCTGTCCTGTTGCCAGGGCGATCCATAGTTTGGACGCTCACAGCAGCGAGCGTGGTACTTGTTCAAAGCATTGAACGTGCGCAAGGCGCTCTCTCCCCTGTGGCAACGGCTGAGCTCAGCGCGGCAACAGGAGGGAGAAAGCGCTGTGCATGCGCAAGGCTCTGATCTAGTTGGGCGCCATGCAGCTCTCATGAGAACACAAAAGAATGTCTCTAATATGTCCAAACTGGATGAGCTGCTTCAAAATACAGCTTCACTCTTGTTTTGGATAAACAGTCCTTTCCGGGCTAGTTATGTACATTATGACAAATTATAGCAGATTGCCTTGTCATCAGCAGAGCATTGCTGGGAAATCTCATCTGTCATCTCACGAGATCTCAGGGAAAGGTATTTTCCTCCCCTGAGAAGATGTGCGTGGTCTAGGGTTGCCACCTGTTCAGGATTCACCCGGACAGTCCGGGTTTCGAATGCTGTGTCCGGGATTCATGGCAGCAGGAACCAGGACACAAGATGACAAGCAGACAGGGGCAACCATGGGGTCCTGGTGTTCCTGGTTGTAGACAGCGGTGTGCCGTGTACAGGATAGATCTGGCGCTCAGCTGCAGAAAGTTCCCTCATTAGTAAGTATGCCTGAGGACTGCGCTCTGATGGTTCATTCTCTCTCTCCCTCTCTCTCTCCCCCTCCCTCCCTTATTGTCACCCAAACATATTCTCATGGATGAAATTGTGACAGACGTTTACTTATACTTTGGCCCATTTAACAAGTTCTACAATGGCTGTCTCTCCTCTCTCTTTCCTGGCTGTCTCTCCTCTCTCTTTCCTGGCTGTCTCTCCTCTCTCTTTCCTGGCTGTCTCGCCTCGCTCTCTCTCCTGGTTGTCTCTCTTTTCTCTCTCTCCTGGAAAAAAAAATGATCCCAAAAATTTACAGTGCGGTACTAGTGTTCAAGTTTCACTTGAAGAATAGGTGGTAACCTTAGCATGGTCACATGTCCTAGTCACATGTCTAGCCACATGTGCCAGAAATGCAGGAAGTAAAAGGAGAGCTAGTAATCTGCCCTTAGTAAACATGGCCACTGTCAGAAGACCTGGAAAGAAAAGAGAAATAAGCTATGCAAAGAATACAAAGCCGGCAATGATCTAGAAGTATGTGTTTGTAGATTGTCATTACTAAACATTTGTAATGGGCCTCATTGGTTGCTAGAATGCCGGCGGACACGCAACCAATCTACAGCCCCATTCATCTGCTGCCCAGGAGATTCCCTGGTTGGCAGCTGAATATAAACAAAGGGGCACGAATGCTCGCTGACGTCATGACCCAAATATGGCAATCGCCATTCTTGGTCAGTGATGTCAGCCAGCATCCCCGCCCCTTTGTTTATATTCAGCTGTTGGCCGGGGAATTTCCCGGCCAGTAGGTGAATGAGGCCAGGGATGCGTCATTGGTTGATAGGATGCTGTTGGCTGCATAGCAACCAATGATGCAGAACTATATTGAGCCAGATGGGTGTGACGGACCCCCGTACTCAGGATGAGTATGTCCGCCGCTGTCTTCTTCCTTGCTCAGTAGATATTGCAACCTGAAGATCCTTAGCTCCCAGTTTCCCCAGTCACTAGTCGAGGCTCGAGTGTAGGTGAAACAAACTTTGGTTTATTGAGAAACTGCACAAACTTTTATACAGCAAGTGATGAAATCAGATTATAATCCCATCACATCCACCCTCCCCTCCCAGACAATCGGTCTGCTCAACACCACAGTGCTTCCCCTGCTAACGAGCTCCAGACAGCCATAGCAGGAGCCTGGCCAGAATGTCATTGTTCTGAGCTCCCTCAGAGAACAATGGGAGATAACGAGGGATGGGATTTTAGGTCTGATAGGAATTTTAGGGGGGAACCCCACCCCCCAAAAATGGGGGGGGGGCATGGGGCCCCCCCTAAAATGCCAACCGCCCCCCCTCCCTGCGCCTTACCAGGCCACGCGCCCTCGGCACGGGGACAAGGGCCTCTTCCCCACAACCCTGACCCTGTGGGGGGTTTGCGTGCAGGGGGGCTTATTTTCATCAGGGTACCCCTTTACCCAGATGCCGCCCCCCCGCCCCCTTGTGAATGAGTAAAAAACAAAGAGTACATTTTTGACTATTCCTTTAATTAAAAAAAAAAAATGGCTCCATCGATGTAATCCAGAGTCAATCACGATGCACGACACGGTGGGAAGCGGTAAAACTGCGGATCAACCGCCTGACTTTACCATCCCTCAGCCGTCTGTCCACACAAGGCCTAAAAATCCCCATCAGGCTCTACCCACCGAACAACAAAACTCCTCGGTCCATGTGACAGACGTAGCGGCCGGGTGGGGAGCTCAGTGACACCGAGCCTGTGATTTTATCAAGCTCAGCATTACTGAGCTGTACTGAGGGTGCAATGTCCAGTATGAACACTCCGGCCGCAGCATCGGCCTCCATGCAACAACAGGTACATAAATCTGCCACAGGCACCAACATTTGTCGCGTGAAGACATGACAGGATTCTAGAGAGTGTCTATGACTATCTACATGAATTCCAGGGAGTGTGTTTAGATCGTCCCTGATATTGCTGTGGCTGCAAGGAAGTAAAATTAAAACTTTTTGGCACGTTCAGAAGCTTGCCGCTGGCTGCAGATTAAAGTGTCTTATGGAGTAATTATACATGTTATAGCAATTACTGTAACACAAGTGGTTTCCTTTCATGAAGAGTTCATCTTCAAGGAAAAGGAAGAAAGTATTTGCTTGTAATACCTCAAATTTATGTTAAAATACAATTTTGTAACTCTTCACTTCTCCAAACTGAGTCCGACATCACGCCGAATGCGAAAGGTCCTAGAATGGCTCCCAGCAAAAAGAGAGATTAAATAGGGACATGACACTCGTCCCCGCTCCCAGAGTTATAGGCACAATGAGAAAGTTGCACACGAAATATGATTGGTTAAAGCCAAGCGCTTTTTTTTACCACCACTACTTTTTCTTTATACTGGTATTTCTAAATAAAACACGTAATAATTTAAGGAGGGGATGAAAGATTTGGTGCACCATCATACGTCTGGTTTGTAACTGTTTTTTCTCTTTATACATTAGATCAAAAAGAGGGACAACTGAGAAGAAAAGAGGGACAACTGAGAAGAAAAGAGGGACAACTGAGAAGAAAAGAGGGGCAACTGAGAAGAAAAGAGGGACAACTGAGAAGAAAAGAGGGACTTGGTCAGAGGGTTAGTCCCTCCACTTTGTCCTAGGCCATGATTGCCAACTTCTTATAAAAAAAAAAAAAATGTAGGCCTGTTTTTTTAAGTGCCCAAAATCTGTATATGGTTTTCAAAGAGCTAAAAGTTGAATCTGCTTATATTTTGCTGTCAGTGTTTCCTCACCAACATGATAATGACATTTTTGAATAAAACTTTTTTGTTTTCATTCATACTAGGGCTGTTACTGATTAAAATTTTCCTGTTCGATTAATCAAATTTTTTTTTAATCGATTAATTTCGATTAATTATGCACTGGGGGGGAGGGGGAAAAAAGGAAGAAGGGTGTGCTGCTTCAATTAAGTATGGACCGGGGTGTCCAACTGATACAAAAACAGAGCAAAAACAAAGTCTAAAGCGCTACTACCAATAGTATTCAGAGTTTGGGGGGTGTTGAGGCCGAAAAGGCTTGAGGTATACAGGATGTATATGAGGCAATCCTCGGTTGGGTGTCAAAGGAGTAAAGGAGAAAGAGATAACAGTTGAAATATGGGTGAATGTACCATGTGTAAAACGTGTAGTAACTCGCCATGAGGTTTTCATGGATGTGCTGTCATCGACGCCGGGATCTGTGCAGGAAGGGGTTGATTGGAGGTCGTCTTGTGGCTTCTTGTGTGTTGATTGGAGTGTCCGGCTTGCTGACCCTGTCAGCGTGCTGGTAGGCAGCGGCGCGGGGCTGGAAAGGTGACGGTCTCATCTGCTGGTGCCGGGGGTCAAGATGTCCGGTCCATTGGTATAGAGGGTGTATAGGGGGACGCCAATTGTTCCTTCTGGGCAGTGGTGATGCCAGAGAGATGTGCCCGCAATGTGGGTGGAAGTTTCGTAGTACAGGCGCCGGAAGTGCCGGTCTACTCGAGGATGGTGGCCGAGGCGTCCCAGACGCGGGACGGAAGTTCCTGTTGTCGTGGTAATGTGGCTCCGTCGGCTAACGAAGGGAAGGGGGGAGGAGTCCGGTGACGTCGATGTCCGTGATGTCGACGGATCTCCGACGAGACTCCCGGAAGCCGACGGAGAGGGGAGTATTTTCATTAGCAATCAAAAAAATTTTTAATCGATCAAAAAGATTAACGATTAATCGAGAAATTAATCGTTCATTTTCGCAGCCCTAATTCATACCTTATTTTTAGATAACTTGGGGGGCTTCTGATATGAAGGGGGCTCCTGATATGAAGGGAGGCTTCTGATATAAAGGGGGGCTTCTGATAATATAAAGGGGGGCTTCTGATATAAAGGGGGCTTCTGATGTGAAGGGG